CAGCTACATGGGAATTCAGCAACATAGCCATTATGCTAACTGCTGGTCCCTCACTTAGTATTTTTAAAAATAATTATTTATTAAACTTTATTTATCAAGGGCTGGCAGTGGCGTAGTGGTTAAGGGCTCTGGACTCCCACATGGCTGACCACAGTTCGAGTTGCAGACCTAGCAGCTTGCTTTCTCACTTTCTTTTTCTCTCTCTCTGTCCCTCTCTGTTCAAATTTATATAAATAAATAAAGCTTTAAAAAAGCCCTTAAAAATAAACAACCTTTATTTATCATCATTATTTTTCATTTAACCAGAGAACGGGGAAAGAACGGGGGAAAGTGAGAAAACAAGCAGTCAGGCCTGGGACTCAAACTATGGTTGACTGTGTGGGAGTCCAGCACCTTAACTGCTATGCCACCTGCCAGCCCCTTTACTTAGTATTAAATCTTCTAGAGTCATCGACTTTGTGTTGTGTAACAGGACCTTACTGTTCTTTATGGCTCAGTGGTATCCAGTTGTGTGTGCCACATTTTTAAAAGTATAATTTTACTTTTTATTATTTTAAAATTTGCTATAGGGATCATGTGCTCACTTGAGAGAAACAGAGAGAGAGAGAGAGTGAGAAAGCGAGTCATCAGGTCCAGGACTCGAACTGTGGTTGGCTATGTGGGAGTCCAGCATCTTAACTACCATGCCACCTGCAGGTCCCTTATCACATTTTCTTGAGCCAGTCATTAGATTTGGGGGCACTTAAGTTGATTCTGTGCCTTAGCTATTATAAATAATACCATGATAAACATGGATGTGCAAGTGTCTCCTACAGAGTGATTTCCTGTCTGGGTAAACTCCTAAGAGTGGGATTACTGGGTCATATGGTATCTTCTGTAAATTTTTGAGGAGCCTCCATATTGTTTTCCACAGTGGCTGTGCTAATTTTAATTCCTAGCAACAGCGTGCAAGGGTGCCCTCTTCTCCACAACCTCGTCAGCATTGATTGTTCTTTTTATTTTTATCATGGCCATCCTGTCTGGGATTAGGCGATACCTCATGGTGATTTTGATTTGCATTTCCTTAATGACAAGAGATGTTAAACATTTTTCATATACTTTTTAGCCATTTGTATGTCTCCTTTTGAGAGTTAGCTATTCAGATCAATGACCCATTTTAAAATTAGATTATTAGTATTTTTGCAGTTATTTGTATATTCTGGTTATCAATTCCTTATCTGAAGTAGAGTTTGCAAATATTTTCTCCCTGTCTGAGGACTGTCTCTATTTATTGTTACCTTGGCTGTGCAGAAACTTTTTAGCTTGACGTAATCCCACTTGTCTATTTTTAGTGTTGTCCATTTTTTAGGGGTCTTATTTGCGAAAACTTTTTCTATTCCAGTGTCTTCACTTATTTACCCTGTTTTTTCTACAGTAGTTGTATAGTACAGTAGTTGTATAGTTTGGGGATTTATATTTAAATCTTTAATTCATTTTGAGGTGATTTTTGTTGATGGTGAATTGAGGTTTAGTATGATTTTTCGAAAGGTACCTAATTTTCCCATTATCTTTTTTTTTTCTTTTTGCCAGAATGTGTGTGTACCCATTAAAGAGGCACAGAGATAGAGAAAGAGAGATGAGAGAGAGAAAACTGGAAAGCACCCACCATAGGGCATGGTCATGCCACAGTTCCTGGTCCTCCATTTTTCCCTCCTCTTGGAACTTTGTGCATGCATGCATATGCACCTGGTGTGTTTTTCAAGTTGCTAGGTCTGGGATTTGAACTATATGGTTGACCATGTGAGATCCAGCCACCTTTACTACCAAGGCATGCGACACCCTCCCACCTCCATTTATTGAAAAGATATTTCTTTTCTCCATTGGATTGTCTTGTGCCCTTTGTGAAAAATCAGTTGACTGTATATTCTGGGGCTTGTTTCTGGATCCTCTGTTCAGTTCCATTGGTCATGTGGTTTTTGTGTCAGAAACCTGATGTTTTGATTATTATAGCTATGTAATGTATTTTTAAGTCAGGTAGTGAGATGTCTCCAATTTTACTCTTTTTGCACAGTATTGTCTTGGTGTTATGGGGTCTTCTATGATCCTAGACAAATTTTACAATTATTTTTTTCTATTTCTGTGAAGAATGTCATAGGTAATTTGATAGGAATTACATTGAAATTGTAAATTAATTTTGATAGTGCTAAAATTTTAATTATATTGATCCGTCCAACCCAAGAACAATGGATGTCTTCCTATTTTCTTGTATCATTTCATTTTTGTTTTAAATTTATTTATTTATTTATTTTATCTGTTATCATTATTTTTAAAGTTTGCTATAGGGCACATGTGCTCATCAGGAGACAGAAAGAGACAGAGACAGAGAGAAAGAGAGAGAGAGAAAGCAAGCCACTAGGTCCTGGAGTTGAACTGTGGTTAGTTATGTGGGAGTCCAGCATCTTAACCACCATGTGGCCTATCTTGTACCTTTTTCAGTTTCTTTCTTAAATTTCACAATTTTTGGGGGGTAGCAGGTGGCATGGTGGGTAAGGGTGCTGGACTCCCACATGACTGACCAGGGTTCCAGTCTCCGACCTGGCGGCTTGCTTTCTCGTTCTCTCTCCTCTCTCTCTCTGTCCCTCTCTGGTCAAATGAAAATAAATAAATAAAGTCAAATAAAATATTTATTAAAAAAAAGAATTTCACACTTTTCGTTGTAGAGATCTTTCACTTCTTTGGTTAATTTTATTTTTACATATTTTTAAATTAATTTAATTTAATTTTATTTATTTTAATTTGACCAGAGAGGAACAGAGGGTGGGAGGAGTGAGAAAGCAAGCCACCAGATCTGGGACTCGAACCCTGGTCAGCCATGTGGAAGTCTAGTGCCCTCAGCCGTCACGCCACCTGCCGTCCCTCTACCTATTTTTTTATATGCATATGACTATTGTTAATAGGTTGTTTTTTTTCAATTCTGCCTCAGTTCACTGTTGGTGTATAAAAAAACTATAGATTTTTGTATATTGATTTTGTTTCCTGTGACTTTACTGAATATTCATTTTTATTATTTCTATGAGTTTTTCATGGATTCTTTTGGATTTCAAAGAATCATGTAATCATGTCATCTTCAAATAGGGAAAATTTAATTTCTTCCTTTCCTATTTGAATGCCATCTATTTCATCCTCCTGTGTAACCGTGTTAGCTAGCACTTCCAGTACTATGTTGGAAAGGAGTGGAAAAAGCAGACAACCCTGTCTTGTTCCAGTTTTTAGTGGGAAACCTTTAGCCTTTCCCTATCCTGGAAGATATTAGCTATGTGCTTGTCTTACATGACTTCTACTGTAAGAAATGTACCTTTTATACCTATTTTGTTAAGAGGCTTTATCATGATGGAATGTTATACTTTATCAAATACTTTTTCTGCATCAGTTGATATGATCATATAGTTTTTAGCTTGCTTTCTAGTTAACATGATGTATTGCATTTATTTTGTGTATGTTGAACCTCCCATGTATCTCAGGGATGAAACTTACTTGACTATGGTGTATAATCTTTTAAATCTATTGTTGGGTTTGATTTGCTAGTTTTTTTTCTTGGGGATTTTTGCTTTTGTATTCATCAGGGATATTGGTCTGTAGTTTTATTTTGTAGTGTCCTTGTCTGTTTTTGGTATCAAGGTGATGGTGGCTTCATAAAATTAGTTAAGGAGGGGGACCAGTAGTTAGCGTAATGGTTGTGTTGCTGGACTCCCACATAGTCGACCACGGTTCGCGTCCCGGACCCGGTGGCTTAAAACTCACGCCGGGCGCATGTGCGTGCATGCCCAAGATCCCGAGAGGAGAATGCAGGAGAAGGGATTACGGCGTGACCATCCCCCCTAGGGGGTGATTTTTCGCTTTCTGTCTCTATGTCTCTCTCTGTCTGTCTGGCGAGCGCACGCGCCCTATAGTGAAAACCTCTCAAAAAAAACTAGTTAAGGAGGGTTCTTTCTGTTTAAATCTTTAGAAATAGTTTGAGGAAGGAACCAGCAGTTAGCATAATGGCTATGTCGCTGGACTCCCACATAGTCGACCATGGTTTGCATCCCGGACCTGGTGGCTTAAAACTCATGCTGGGTGCGTGTTGCGTGCGTGCCCAAGATCCCGAGAGGAGAATGGAGGAGAAGGGATTGCAGCGTGACCATCCCCCCTGAGGGGTGATTTCTCATTTTCTGTCTCTCTGTTTCTCTCTGTCTGTCTGGCGAGTGCACGTGCCCTGTAGCGAAAACCTCTCCAAAAAAAAAGAAATAGTTTGAGGAGAATTGGTGTTAATTCTTCTTTAAAGGTTTAGTAGAATTCATCAACAAAACCATCTGGACCTGTGCTTTTTGTTGGGAGACTAATATAACATTGCTTGTTATTGGTGCATTGTATTCCTTTTCTTTTCTTTTCTTTTCTTTTCTTTTCTTTTCTTTTCTTTTCTTTTCTTTTCTTTCTTTCTTTTCTTTCTTTCTTTCTTTTTTTTTCTTTTCTTTTTTTTTTTTTTTTTTGTTTTGGAGGTTTTTGCTATAGGGTGCGTGTGCACTCGTCAGAAATAGAGAGACAGAGAGACAGAAAGTGAGAAATCACCTCCCAGGGGGCTGGCTACGCCACAATCCCTTCTCCTCCATTCTCCTCTCAGGATCTTGGGCATGCACGCACATGTGCCCAGAGTGAGTTTAAGCCACTGGGTCCGGTACTTGAACCACGGTTGACTACATGGGAGTCCAGCGACATAGCCATTACACCAACTGCTGGTCCCGGTGCATTGTATTTCTATTTCTTCCTGGTTCAGTCTAGGTATACTGTGTGTCCAGAAATTTGTCCTTCTCATCTAGGTTTCTGATTTGTTGGTGTATAGTTGCTGGTAGTGTTCTCTAATGATCTTTCTGTGATATCTGTTGTAGCACTTCATTTCTATACTCTTGTTAAGGAAGATCAGAGTGTAGAAAGCAGAGGTCAATGAAAAATTATGTTAACTTTATGCTTCTTTCTCTCAGCAGTTCTGTAGAAGATCGTAACTTCAATTTCCAGAAAATGACTTGTAATTTTAGCCGTATCCGACGTATCTCCACTCCTTCCTCTGTCACGAAGCCGGCCAACACCAACTTTACCACTAAGTGGATCTGGTATTGGAAGAATGAAGATGGCAAGTGGATTCAATATGGGGAAGAGGTGAGTACCATTCCTCCTTGTTGGAGCCTCTTGTTTAAACTTGTCATCTTAAAAAGAAAACTATTGGGGCCAGCTGGTGGCATGGTGGTTAAGGCCCCTGGTTCCCACTATGGCTGATTCTGCGGTTCAAGTCCTGGACCCAGCAGCGTGAAGATCACACTGAGCACATATATGTACCGTTCCCAAAATTCTGAGAGGGGAATGGGGAAGAAATTGTGGTATGGCCATCTGCCTAGGGATTGATTTCTCACTCCCCATCCCCATGTCTCTTTGGTGAGCACACATTCCCTATATCAAAACTAAAAATAACACAGTTAATATTAATAATCTATTAACTAAATCAATTAACTATTAAAATTTTTGGAGGCTACAGAGTTACCCACGAAGAGGGGGAAGAGGAAGTAGAGAAAGTGATATTTTACTTAATACACCACCATATTTGCATTTTCCCAGCGTGCATGTACTTAAATCGGAACCATATGCTGAAAATACATTAATACTTTTTGAGGGGCCTCTTGAAACATGAGTCAGCCGTAGATCTCTCTTTCCTCACTGTCATAGGTGTGAGTGAAACCTCGAGAGAGTTTTCTGTGTATTAATATTTCAAAAAAGGTTCTGGGAAAATAGAATCAAAGTATGAATTTATTTTGGTGCAGAGAATTTTGAAATTTGCCATGGCAGAAACTCTGGTGCCCCATGGTGCTAGAGGCCAAATGGTGACACTGTTCAGAGTCTAGGTTGACTTGAAAGGCATGCTGCTAGGATCCTGAGGAGCTGGAAAGCTGGAGAAAGGGGTCATGTTGTGGTGAGACTATTGATAATGCATTTTCTGTGAACTTTTTGCAGAACAAATGTATAGACTATTGCCCTGAGTCAGGAGTGGAGGGAGGAATTAGAGACTGAGGTTGATGAGAGGGTGATTAACTCTACCTGGGGATATGTTTATTCACTCCAACAGTGACACCACTGCTGGTACAGATGGTCACTAGTATCCAGTCAGAGTCTGGATTCAGGTGGACTTGAAAAACTGGAACTAGAAGATTCTAGGCTGATTCACAGAGGGTACATAGCAATAAAGATGGAAGTTTAGATAAATAGATCTTCTGTCCTTTTAAGTGTCTTTTTCTCTCTTTGATGAATAGAATTAAGAGGCAAAGAGAAGGAGAGAGAGAAAGAAACCCCCAACAGCATTCAGGCCATAGCTCACTTCCATCCCAGCTGGTCTGGATCTCGGCCACGTACACACCCAGCGTGTACAGGGAGGCCTTGGGATGTGAACCTAGGACCTTCCCATAATGGGTCCAGTTGTATTACTGATGGACTACAATCTGGCTCCAGATGTTGCTTTTTATGTTTTCTTTTTAAACTGTCTTAGTAACATGGCAGTGATGATTCCAAGAGATTTGAACTCCAACCATAATGAACAGGTTGGTTTCTTTCACAGTTCAGTGTGCCGTGGTCTAAGCTGGCAGTTCTTCAGTGGTCTGGTTTGATCTAGTAACAGGTTAGAACATTTAGAGAAAGAATGGGTAGGTTTTTAATGTGTTCTCAGGTGTTATTTCTTATAACTGAATTTTAAATAAGGGCTGGACAGTTACCAGTTGTGGGTTAGAAAACTCCCTGGTAGAAACGTGGGGGGCAGAAACTCGCCAACAGAGCAGGTGCATATGCTTTGACAGTGGACTCCCTGGAAAGTATAACTGATACTCCTTTGATGGAAATTCCAGTGCTTAAGCAGGACATGTAGCCACATGAATGGTGAACAGGAAGAGGATGTGGTATTTAAAGAAGTGGTGATTGATTATGGGCAATTGGAAGCAATGGTATAAAGCAGTTATAACAGGAGTGACCAGAAGGGAGAGCCTGGTAGTCCTTGGGTAGGAAATTGGGTAGGATTTCTTTCACAGGTTCATGATTCACAGAGCCACAGATCAAGTTTACAGATTGCAGATCCAAGTCCTTGGGGTTGTTTACTGGCAAGCAGCTAAGCTTCATAGCTGTGGGAGCTGGTGGATCAAAAGGAGGCCATGGCCTGAGAGAATTGCTCAGAGCAAGAACAAACAGCAGTTCTAGAAAGCCAAGGTCAAAGTGTTAACTGAGGCACAGGATAAAAGCCAAGTCCTTGCTACTGCAACTGAGGCATAAATGCAAATCTTGTGGGGGAATAAACAAACGAAGGCTCTCCCATTTAGAACTGGAGTGCTGTAGTATACTCTAGGCGCATCAGAGCTGTTAGTAAGAGCCGAAGGGCCTGCGGGAAGACTTTACAAGGCTGTCGCTCTGTGCTACTGAGGAGGCTGAGACAACCGTAGTTGGAGATTTCCAAAGCATAAGGCCAGCTCAACAAAGATAAAAACTTTCAGATATCAGGAATGTTTACCCTTACCAGGAATAGCTTTCTGCCCTCTGGGACTAGCAGATGACGTAATGATTACGTCACTGGACTCCCATGTAGTCAACTGTGGTTTGAATCCCAGACACGGTGGCTGAAAACTCACAGTTTGGAACGCAGGAATAAAGCATGTAATTTAAAAAATGGAAAAAACAAATAATCTCACAAACAGTGCATGCGTGCATGCCCAAGATCCCGAGAGGAGAATAGAGGAGGAGGAATTGTAGTGTGGCACTCCAATTGGGGGGTGATTTTTCACTTTCTGTTTCCCTGGTGAGAACACACACCCCGTAGCAAAATCTCTCTTAAAAAAATGAAAAATAAAGGAAACACCTTGGAAAAGAAACACCTGGGAATTGACCCAGAGAGCACACAGTGTAAGAGACGCCCTCCCCAGACTTGGAGAGTGGCCTTCCAATCAGTTGGTTATATGACCTCCTGGCTGTGACATGCTCATGACATCAGCATGCTGCCAGTTGCTGTACTACGCCCATAACATGGACAAATTCCCACTATTCTGTTAGTTTCCTTTTCTCTTATTATTATTATTTGCTAGAGAGTACATGCACTCACCAGGCAGAGACAGAGAGAGGGGGGAAGGAGAAAGCACCCACTGTGAAGAGTGGTCATGCAACAGTCTTTTCCATTTGTCCCTCCTTTCAGGATTTTGGGCATGCATGCATACACACCTGGCATTTCTCAAGCTACTGGGTCTGTGACTTGAACCACACAGTTGGCCATGTGGGAACCAGCCGCCTTAACCACCGGGCCATGGAGCTGACCTTAGGAGAGCATGGTTTGAACGATCCTGCATCAGATGATACCTGGGACTCATTGCGTGTGGGCTGAACCAGGGGAAACATCACCCTTGGAGGTCCTGGAACACAAGCAACAGTGAGGGCAGAGACAGGGCAGGGTGGATCCGCGCCAGGTCATCTCGATGCTCAGACACTGATCGATGGCTCTGTGCTGTCCAGTATGACAACCACTGGCCACATGTGGCTCTTAAATTTTAAATTAGTTAAGCATAACTAAAATGAAGAATTCAGTTCCATGGTCACTTTAGTCACATTTAAAAATACTCCGTAGAGGGAACCAGCAGTTAGCGTAATGGCTATGTCGCCGGACTCCCACGTAGTCGACCGTAGTTCATGTCCCGGACCCAGTGGCTTAAAACTCACACCGGGCGCGTGTGCGTGTTGTGCCCAAGATCCGGAGAGGAGAATGGAAGAGAAGGGATTGCAGCGTGACCATCCCCCCTGGGGGGTGATTTCTCGCTTTCTGTCTCTATGTCTCTCTCTGTCTGTCTGGCGAGCGCACGTTTTTTTTTGGGGAGGCACCGCGCCCTATAGTAAAACCCCCCCAAAAAAAAAAAAAAAAAAATTACTCCGTAGACAGCTATAGCTAGGCTGTTGAAGGAGTTAAAAGTCTGCGTCTCTGGCGTATGAACTATTTTGAATTAAAGGCACTTGAAAAATAGCAGGTACAAGACAGTCGCTCTAGTCTTCCTTCTGTTTCTTTTTTTTTTTGGAGAGGTTTTCACTATAGGGAGCGTGCGCTCGCCAGACAGAGAGAGACATAGAGACAGAAAGCGAGAAATCACCCCCCAGGGGGGATGGTCACCGCAATCTCTTCTCCTCCATTCTCCTCTTGGGATAAAGCCACCAGGTCTGGGACTCGAACCGTGGTCGACTACGTGGGAGTCCAGCGACATAGCCATTATGCTAACTGCTGGTTCCCCTTCTGTCTCTTAAAAGCAGAGGTGAAATTACTGTGTTGAACATGTTCTTATTACCAAAGAGGGGATTTTGAGGCCAAGGGGAATCTGGGCAAATAAACCATGTTATTAGACAAAGCTTTGTCCTCCTCTCCCCCTTCTCCACCCTCTTAGTCTAAGCCCTTTTCCCTTATCACATTGTCACAATTTACTAGTCTTTGTCAAATTCGGTATGTAAGTATTCATCTTGAATTACATCTTGGGTCTTTATTTCCTTATAAAGGATCCTGTGACAGGTAAAACTTCTATTTTAAAAAAAAAAGAAAGAAAGAAAATGGTATGCTTTTTTTTTCTCCTGTTGATCTGTTTTATGTCAGTGTGTTTCTAGCCCAGCAGAAAAACCCTGAAAAAGAACAGGTAACGTTTTGCCTTCCCTTCCCTACACTGCCATACTCAGAGCACAGAGAACATTCCCATCATTGTTCTAGTGAACAGTGCTGGTCCAAATTCTAGATCCTTGGGAGTCAAAGTGAGGTCCACAGACCAGCAGCATCAGCAGCATTTGGAAGCTGTTTGAAATGCAGAACCTAGAGCCAGTTGGTGGTGTGGTGGTGAAGGTGCTGGATCCCACATGGCCGACTGTGTGGTTCAAGTCCCAGAACCAGCAGCTTGAAAAATATGCCAGGTGCATGTGCATCCATGTCCAAAATTCCTGGAGGAGAATGGAGAAGAGATTAGGATGTGACCATCTCCCCTGGGGATGCTTTCTCACTCTCTCCTGTCTCTGTCTCTGGTGAGTACATGCACCTTATAACAAAACAAAAAAAGAAAAAAAAAAGAAAGGAAGAAAGAAAAAAAGAAATACAGTACCTAAAACTTCCCTAGTTTCCTTGACTCATATTCTGCACTTTAACCAAATCCTTAGGTGACTTAGCATGTATGGCAAAGTTTGAAATGCTTTGTCTTCTGAGTCAGAAATGGTGGATTGTAGGGTACTAGCAGTTGGCGTAATGCTGTCGCTGGACTCCCATGTAGCTGACTACGTTTCGAGTACTGGACCCGGTGGCTTAAACTCACGCCGGGCACTTGTGTGTGTGTGCCCAAGATCCCGAGAGGAGAATGGAAGAGAAAGGATTGTGGTGTGGCCATCTCACAGGGAAGGAGGGTGATTTCTCGGTGTCTCTGTTTGTCTTTCTGGGAAGAGCACGTGCCCTATAGCAAAAACAAAAACAAACAAAAAACTCTCAAAAAAAGAAACGGTGGGTTCTACAGAGTCAAGTAGGCACTTGATGAATACTGGATTCAGTTACAGGGATGGGAATTCGAGGGAAACAGCTAGTGGTCAAGCCAAGGTATACGGAGGTGACAGAGCTGCCTCGCTTTCCCCTGCCCTGTGCCCGAGTGTTTGCCCACTTCGGCTGTTCTTTGGGCCCAAGGATGGCATACGGTTTAACCATCATCGTCTGATCATACAGCACTCTCTCTTCAGTCGTCCTGATAGCTACTGCCCCAGCAGCTGTTGAAACCACCATCTCTGTGGATGACTTTGTCAGGTGCTTAGGTCAGAAAGTTCTGTCAAAGTCGCCTTCACGTCCTTCCATCCTTTGTCCTGGTTCCGCTTTCTGAAACACATGCAAATGTAGCTCTGTTTTGCTCTGGGCCCAAATATTTAAACACAGCCTTCCTGCTCCAAACAGAGGGGCCTAAGCCCTTCTCCATCCCCGACATTTCCCCTGGATGCTTTCATACTGGCATCCTCCCCTGAACACCCAGCTTGCACTGCCCTTAGAAAGGGGCAGGGAGGCGACTGGAGCTGAAAGCTGAAGAGTCTGGAATGTCAGCGGTCCACCTACTGGAGCTTGGATGAAGAGCAGAAGGCCTTCTCTTATCACCTTCACTATAGCTCTGACCTGCGCTGGGCTAAAATAGCCCACAGGGTTCTGTTTCACACACGAGTGGAGTGTGGGTTCCTCTTAGATCTCAGGTGCAGACATGGCGTCACAGAGAGGGAGCGCATGCGTGTTTGTATGTTATAAAAGGTATGAATAGAGTATTACAAAGAGCTGTATTTTCCAGGCATTCACCAAGCATGTAGGATAAACTTCTCTCTTTTATTTTTAAATTTATTGATTGATTTATTTGATCATTTTTTTAAAGTTTCTGATAGGGCCCATATGCTCACCAGAGAGACAGAGAGGTAGAGAGAAAGAAGGAGAGTGAGAAAGCAAGCTACTAAGTCTAGGACTCAAACCTCAATCGGCCTCTTGGGAGTCCAGCTCTTTAACCACCATGCCAGACTTCTGTCTTTTAGGCACCATGAGGGAAAGGACCACCAAAGGTTCAGACCTGGCCCTGACCTGAAGGCCCTGACAATTTGGTTTGGGAAGCAACATTTACTCCTGTTCAAATCCCATGGCTAAAACAAAACTGTGAGATGTCATTGTGACAATTTCTGAAAAGCTTACTCTGAAGTCTTTACTTTTTTTTTTTTTAATTAGAAAGACAAACAGCAAAGTTCAAACATTGACTCTTCATACCTGGAGTCGGTCTTTCAAAACTGTCCAAGGGGAGTTTTGTCATTTCAGGCGGGTTCACGGAACTACGAGTTGAGTTTCCAAGGTGAGTTTTTTGATTGGCGGTGTTACGTGCCATTGGACGTGCCATGTGCACCGGGAGTGGGAACAGAACGTGCGTGTGTTGCTATGCTCAGAATCATGGCTCTTCTTGACAAAGCAAGCACTACAGTGGAGTGGAAGCCAGTGGCCGTCTGCAGACCTGTGTTCCAGAGCCCTGACTCTGACAGATTCAACCCTGGGAGAGTGCCTGGCTTCTCTAGGCCCATTTTATCCAACTGTAAAATTGGTGTATTGGACCAGGTAGTCTTGAGGGTGTATTCCTGGCCCTGCTGTTCTGTTTTCTGACTCTGGGTGGGCAGGTGCCCAGGGTGAGACTGGACTTCCTGACGGTGATAACCAGGAAAGACCTTGGGCCCTTGGGTGCCTTCAGAGTTTTAGACACTTGCTATTTACCCTCACAGGCTGCATCATCCAGAGCAGTGGTTTCATCTAGCACATTGACTGCAGTGCTCTGCCCTCTCCCGTGGTTATTGGAGCCACCGAAGAAAGACCTGCTGCTGGTTAACTTCCACTAGGCCAGCAGCCCCCTCTGAATGCTGTCCCATCGGCACGAGGACCCTCTTGGGAGGTCCTCTGTCTCTGTTTCTGCTCTCTCATGGGAGAAATAAATAAATGAACTTAAAAAAAAAAATTCTGAACTGCGTCCTGTGGGTGGTTGTGGTGGTTAAGGTGCTGGGCTCCTCCAGGGCCAACCATGGTTTGAGTCCCAAACCTGGCAGCTTGCCTTCTCACTTTCCCTCTTTCTTTCTCTGGTGAGTGTACATGCCTTGTAGCAAATTTAAAAAAATAATAATGATAGGGGCCAGCACATGGCATAGTGGTTATGTCACTGGACTCCCACATGGCTGACTGTGGTTTGAGTCCTACATCTGGTGGCTTGAAACTCACACCAGGTGTGTGTGTGTGTGTGCATGCCCAAGATCCCGGGAGGAGAAGAGAGAAGGGATTACAACATGGCCATACCCCTTGAGGGATGATTTCTCACTTTCCCTCATACTGTCTCTGTCTCTCTCTGGCGAGTGCATGGACCCTACGGCAAAAATATCTACCAAAATAATAATAATCATCATGATAACTAAAATAAAATAAAATAATTTTTTAAAAAGAGACTAGAATAATTTCTAAATATCCATTCACCTCTTTGCTGTTTTGAGTTTTTTTTTTTTTAAAGGAAGATTTTTGTTATAGGGCATGTGCGCTCACCAGAGAGACAGAAAGTGAGAAGTCACCCCCAGGGCAGATGGCCACACCACAGTCCCTTCTCCTCCATTCTCCTCTCCGGATTTTGGGCATGTACACACATGCATCCGGTGTGAGTTTTAAGTTGTTGGGTCCAGGACTCAAACTGCTACCAACTACGTGAGAGTCCAGAGACATGACTATTATACCATCTGTGGGCCCTGCTTTTTTGAATCTTCTAATAAGGGCTGTGAAAGATACCAGTTTTTAAAAATTGTTTTTATTTTTATTTTTATTATTATTTTTTTTATCCTGAGTGATTTTCCTCCAAATGGATTTTTTTCTGTTCATGTATATTCATATATATTCATGTTTAGGCATGAATATTTGCTATGTAAATAACCCTTGAAAATCATCAGTCATTTTCTGGGACTAATCCTTTTTTTAATTAATTATGTATTTAATTCCATTTGTTACTATTATTTTTTAATTTGATCAGAGAGACAGAGAGGGAGAGAGAGAGAAAGGGAAAAGGAGAAAGCAAGCCACCAGGTCTGGGACTCAAACCTTGGTCAGCCACGTGGGAATCTAGTGACTTTAAACCACCATGCCGCCTGTTGGCTCCAGGACTAATTCTTGACTCTTGTTTATTTTGTTTTCTTTCTGTCTAAAGGGATGATTCAGACAAACACAGCTTCCAAGACTCAGAAGGATGTTATCAGAAGACCACGGTTTGTGTCCCCACAGGATGTGGCGCGGATGAAGGGAGGGCCAGAGTAAGTGTGCGGCACGCTGTTTGCTGGCGGGTGTTTGAGCCGTGTGTGCCTTGATCCCATCACGTCACTCGTGAATCTGGACCCCACGTTCTGAAAGTCTGCTTGCGTTACACTGAGATTTCCCTTCGCATCATCTACGAGTCGGGCACTGGTTAAGCGGTGTGGTGTGACGGAAAGGATACCAGATTGGGAAACCGGTCTTCCCTCTAGCCACAGGGGACTTTTGGCGAGTCCCTCAAGTACCAAGGGCCTTAGCTTTTCCAGCTGCAAATGGTTGAATTAATGGGGTGTGCCTATAAAACCACTGAATGCGCTGGGTTCTTGTTTTGCTGTGGATTTTTCTGTGTCTGTAGTTTTACTGCAGAATTTGTGGAAGGCCAAGAGCGAGATGGAGAGAAGAAAGGGATGAGGTAGCTGCCTCAGGCTGAGCAAGGGCTTTGCAGAAAGAGAACGCTGATTAAAGGGAATGTTTAAAGGAAATTGGGCCATGGGGGACTTGTTGCAGCTCTGCTCTGTCTCCTCTTAGAACTCCCAGTAAAACCGACATTGATCGTGAACATTTTTGGAGTTAGACTTTAGTTTTTTTTTTTTTCTGGGTGTGATTATGTAATACAGGCTTCAAGGCAGGTATAAAATCAAGGGATTCTGATTGGATTCTTTGGTTGTAGGAATTTAAGATAGTTCATAAAGAAAGGAAGTTACTAAAAGGATAACTGTGAGGTAATATGGGAATGCCATCTCATGGCGCAGAGCTGCAAAGACTTTAGCAAATGCATACTGCCTCTCTGGCACCCTCATCCTCAATAAATACATGGAGAACCAAATAATTTGGGCCACACTCCTCAGGGACCGCGAGCCTCCTGGCCTCCCTGCTAAAGGTCATCGCTTGTCTTGTGTGTTTTATCTTGCTCACGTTTCCGGGGGTCCTACTTTCTGGTCCCGTTGGACATGACAATCTCGCAAGAACCCAAGGAGGGGACTGAACCACATCAAAGCCTCGGGGTGGGAGTCGGTTCCAACTCAGCTCTATCCTAGGCTCACAGATCCCTGCCCGGACGCTGAACAGCCTGGGCTCTGGCCTGAGACCGCTTCGGTTCATATTCAGCCTTGCTCCTCATTCATTGTGTGGAGTTGGATGAATTCCTCACTTGACAACTGCTCATCTGTAAGATGGGTTTAATGATAGTGCCTTCCTCAGGGCCGGACAGTGGCGGGGGCGGGGGGGGAGCGAAGCTTTGTAATGCTGACCATGTGTCATGAGTTTTATTTTATTTTATATATATTTTCTAAATTCTTTATAAATTATTGGGATCAGCAGTTAGCATAATGGCTATGTTGCTGGACTCCCATGTAGTCGACCGCGGTTCAAATCCCAGACCCGGCGACTTAAACTCATGCCGGGCGCGTGTGCATGCCCAAGATCCCAAGAGGAGAATGGAGGAGAAGGGATTGCGGCGTGGCCATCCCCCCTGGGGGGTGATTTCTCGCTTTCCA